CGTCAACTTTGAGGATGGCTGGTACATGTGGAACGACACCAAGGACCTGCTGAAGGGGCTGCCTCCTCCTGGCGTGGAGACCTACTGCTTCTACGGCACGGGCCTCCCGACAGTGGAAACCTACATCTACGATGAGCGCTTCCCCTATGAGGACCCCGTGGACGTGGTCTATGGGGACGGGGACGACACCGTCAGCACCCGCAGCATGAAGCTGTGCAGCCGCTGGGCCAAGCAGCAGAAGCAGCGAGTGCATGTGATGGAGCTGCCGGGAGTGGAACACCTCAATATGGTTTTCAGCAACCAAACACTGAGCTACATCAACGAGATACTGCTGGGCAGCTTCCAGGCCAGTGCGGAGGAGCAGGGAGGGCAAAAGACCCTCTTCCCACCCAACCCAGAGCCAACACGGGCCAGGAAGAACCTCTCTGGTCAGAGGGCCACTAAGAACCCCAAAATGAACTGAAGGCAGCGGGGGTCAGCTTTGCTCTCGACCGACTGCCCTCCAGCAAAGGGTTCAAATCCGAGTGCGTGTGGAGGGCAAAGCAGCACCCACTCCTGCTATGACGGGCTTTTGTGTTGTGAATGGTGATTAATTACACATTAGAGGCTTGTTACTTGCATATTAGCAGATGGGTAATTAACTACACTGCCAGCTAATTCCATCACGCTGGCAGGTGTCACCATGACACTGCCATCACTGGCCAGCTAGTGTAACGCCGACAGACCCTGGTTGTTGGCAGGCGGGATCGAACTTGGGACCTCTGAAATAGATGAGCCTCTACTGCATGAGCTAAAAGCCATGTGGCTCTTAGCCAAGGCTGTAGCAGACTCATTAATCTCTAGGTGCCACTAGCCAGAGACAGACCACCATACTCACCAGGCCACTTTGGCCACAGGGCAATCCCAGCCTGTGCCAGGTCTGAGCTGTGCCCCCTTGGTCCCTGTGCTGGGCTCTGCAGCAGGCAGGCTTGGATTTGCACCCAAGAAATCTGAGCCCAAGGGGCGCTGCAAAGCAGGGGCCTTTGTGGGGCCTCACTGAGAAGCTGAGCTGTTCAGCTCAAAGAGAACGAATCCTGCCCCCATCCTAGAGCTGGAGAGCCACAGGTAACTGAGTGCCTGTGACAGACCCTTTAAGGCCTGTGAGTGAGGCCGACTGCAGTGAGGGGCCAGTGCCCCACGTCTGGGGTCCCACCAGGCTGTGCACAGGGACCAAAGGGAGCATGTTCAGACAGCATCTGCCATTGCACAAATGGTCTCTGTTCTCTGCAGTAACTGTGCAAAGTGCTCCGCTTCCAGGCACGCCCTCATTGCCGGCTGCCGCGGGCACACACCTCTGGGGCCGGGCCTTTGCTAACTGCTGCCATCACCAGCCCATGAGCATTAGGCCTAGTGGGAAGCATTGCTGCGGCAGACTGAGAGCTGCCTCTGGCCTGCGAGAGAAGCACCTCCCTGGAAGTATGCGCTGGAGCCGGGGGCTAGCCCCTGCATAAAGCACTGTGAGCCCAGGCTAGGATCACTCCAGCCAGCCCAGGCCGGGGCTTGCAGACATGCACTGGCCTTGCCGTGCTTGCCCAGGGCCCTGAGGAACACTGTGCTAACACCTCTTTGCCGGAGGCGCCCTGTTTCTCTCTCCGAAGGCGACGGAGTCCCAGGAGAGCCTGTTGAGCATACTGCTGAGAGGATCCAAATGCGGAATCCCAGGGTGCTTTAAGCCGCTGGAGTCTGACCAGAGCCCCGGCGCTGCCCTTACTGGGGGTCTCTAGACCCCTCTTGGGGTGCAGATCCTCTGTCTGAGCACCCCCTCCCCATTGCTCTTAACTAAATCACACAAGAAATGCACAGGTCTATCCAAAAACACTAAACCTCCACGCTGTTCCCTGCCTCAGGATAATCACCACTCCCGAGCATTCTTTGAGCTGGGGTCAGAGTCCTCTAGAGGCATCCAGGGTCCTTCTCCGGCAGTGCAGGGCTGGTCTCGCTCCCCCCGCAGGTCAGCGTGCTCTGACCTTAGTGGGTCCTGCACCTAAACTGGGCTCCCGTCCCACTGCTCTGAGCCTGCCCATCTCTCTCTCTCTCCTGGCCAGAACTCCCTGTGCAGCTCTGTAACTCTTCCCCTGACACACTCCAAACATTGTGGGTATTAAGTTCCAGCATCCATACCTTAGGGGCTTTCTTCTGGACTGGGGAGTCTTCCACCCTTCACATGCAAGCCCCCTCTTACAGGGTTGGGGGAAATTGATTTTCCAGCTTCAGCCAAGCTCCTTAGCATACCCTGTCATGCAGTCCCACGACCTGTAACCAGTCTGCTGGCAGTGGGCCGGGCCCCGAGGTCCCACACCGTTCCACCAGGGCAGGCCTGTGACCTCCAAGACTCTGAGACTGGGCTGTGGGCACCAGTGACCCTATCTCTCTTCGTGGCTCCCTACACCGAATCCAGCCCAGCCAGACTCCTATGGGAGATCTGTGCTGTCCCCCGTCAGGGTGCAGTGCTCTCAGTGCGTATCCACAGCGACACAGGCAGCCTCTCCAAACCACGCACCATCGATTGGTCACCTGGCTACAGAATCTGAACGCACTGGAGTTAGCTCAGAGAGGCAGAAGTTAAGCCATAGTCCACCCTGGCTAAGCCATGATGGGCCAGCCAAGCTGTGATGGACTCATCTCTGGTGCTAGTCTCTGTCCTTGTTCCTGAGTCCCTCCAAAACGGCCACCCCAATTCCAGCCTTCTGACACCCTCTCTCCAGCTCAGTTCCCAAGCCCCACCTGCTGGGTTTCATGTGTTAGGTGTTGATCATTCAGTCCTTGGGGCGTCTCTCTGTCTTGTTGGATCCCTGAATTGAGCCAGTTCTTCAATGACTCTCTTCATTCCAGAGACAGCGAGGTGACACTCACACCTCTTGCACTGTTCCAAGAGCAGTGTTGGCCGTTTTACACCCACTGGGTAGCAATGCAACAGAGGGAAACTGAGGCACGCATAGTATTTATAAAAATATTACAGAAAATTCCCACTTTGTCATATCTCTTCCCCCTTCAAGACTGAACTGAGCAGGGTTACTTTAACCAGTGAGCTGGGGAAGTTTGAACACACAAACATTATTCATAGATGCCACAGCCTATTTCCAGTATTGCCAAATGTTCAAAAATCATGAGTCAGGCGCACCAAAAATCATGAGATTGGCTTTAAAATCATTAGATTATGTAAAAATAATAGATTGGGTGTTCTTTTTATTGCCTCTTGCTTTTTGAGCCTTTAGGTTGCACTGGGGTCACATTTGGAAGCTTTCTCTACAGCCACGAGGGCTAGAAAGTTACTTTTTCTTTAAGAATGAAGGCTGAAATCATCACACCTCCACTTGACCTCAGGAGGCGGGGCTTTAAGGAAAACAATAATTATCATGAGACGCATGACAAAATCATGAGAGTTGGAAACACTGTATTTCCGATCCCTTGGTAGCTGTCCTACCAGGCACTTTCATGATTCTTACAGCACAGTTTCTAATCAAACTTCCAATACACAATCCAAAGCAGTTTCACATCCTCCCTTAGGTCTGGTCTCTTGGATGGCACCAGCAGGATGCACATGGGGAGTTTTCATTCTTTTGCCACCCCAAAGCTGTTGGGTTTGAAACTGGGATGGAGCCCTGCCACCGCCTCCTTGCCCTCGTCTGCCAGGGAGCGAGGAGGGCAGTAAACCCACGTTCCTGCATTTGTCAGCCATCTTGGCTGTACCCTGGGGTGTTCTTATCTTATCCCATGCTTGGGGTAGGAAGTGACCCCTTGAGCATTTGTGGGTGAGGATGGGGGATCAGTGTAGATTTGTCCCTCTGCAAGGTAGGTCTTAACCCAACCATATGTCTGTGGCTCTGGTGATGCAGAGTGCCCCCCACATTGGCAGGCCCCCTCTGGAGTTGTGTTCCAACCCCAGGGCTGTGTGTATGCAAGGGACCCATTTCCCATTTTGGGGTTAATGTGTTGCCCTCACCCCCAGGACAGAGTCCTCCCCACCCTCAGGTGGGCTGTGATTCAGGGTCTCTTGGTTAAGAGAACCCACCATGGCCACGACCACACTGTGATGATGTGTCCGTTACCAGCAATGGCCTTCCGGCTGCTTTAACTTTCTATGGGGCTTCTCTTACCTGTGGACAGGACAAGCATGTTTGGCAATCCCCCTTCCCTGCCTGTGTCTCCCCACACTCAACGGGGGGGCTCAGCGACCGCAGGGCTCAACACTGCTTCTGCTTTCCCAGTCAGGGTTGGCCATGAGCTTGCTCCCGTGGTCACAGCATCAGGCTTGAGGCAATTATGCCTCAGCCAGTGGAGAGGGGTTCAGGTCATTCTTCTGCCCCATTCAGACTCAGGTGTCTCGCTACAGCCAGAACGTTGTCTTGAGCGTCACAGCCTTTCCTTTGTGTTGCAAGCAAGCGGGGCAGGAATCGAGTCCTGTATCAGCCGCTCCATTATATTGCCCAGGATCAATGTCAGACCACCTGGCCGTCCCATTTACGCTTTTGAAATAGTGGCACTTCCAGTCTTTTGGCATTTCCCTGGTTTCCCAAGACTTATTGGAAAGCAACACGAATGGTGCAGTGCGCACCTCAGCCAGCTCTTTTAAACTCTTGGGTACAAGTTATCCAGACTTGCACTCTCAAAATCTCTAACTTTAGTAGCCCTGGTTTAACATCCTGCCGACCCACTAGCGAGGGGAGAGTGTGACCATAGCATGCAGTCTGTAGGGCCACTGCAGAGCGTCTATAGGGTACTTAGATAGGGGCTAGGGTGGGTTGGGTCTCCAGGGGGCAAAGCGCCTATAGGCTCTATATAGGGCTGGGCAGAGTCTCTGGGAGGGGGCTGCCGCCCCTCCCCTCAGGAGATCCCGGGGGCAGGCGCGCGCGCACTGAAGCAAGCCAGGGGCAGGAGCGCGCGCCGGAGCCCCCCTCCGCAGGACAAGCATCGCGCGCGCGGCCCCGGTGGGAGGGGGAGCCCCGCGGCTGTGCCTGGCCAATGGGAAGGAGGGGCGGGGCGATCTCCCCCTGAGTCGTTCCGATTGGCTCCCCATTCGAGGTCGGCCCGCCATTGGCGGGAGGCGGTGAGAGGGGCCGGAATGTAGGACAGCTGCGGGCTGCGCGAGGCCTGCCCGGGGTGAGACGCGGGGCTGGGCTGTGACCGGGGCGGGGCGGGGCGGGGCGCGGCGGGGGTAGTGGGGCCGGGTCGTGACCCGGGGCCGTACCGAGTCTCGCTCCCACCCGGGCCGCTGCCCCAGCCCGTCCCCCGCGCGGTGGGCGCGGCCGGCTCCGTGCGAGGGATGAGGCGGGGGCGGTGTGCCCGGCGCCGCGCGCTCTGGCGCCCCCTGGCGGGAGGGGGAGGCTGGGGCGGGGCAGAGCGGCCCTGGGGGCGGGGCGGGGCCTATTGTCTCGGGGCGGGTCCGCGCGGGCCCCGGCAAGCACGTGACAGGCCTTTGTGCCCCGCACCCGCCCCCCGCGTGGCCG